GAACCCGACACAGGGGATGGAATGCCTTGGTCACATCCACAATGTGATTTATTTCAACCGTAGATTTGAAATCACTGTACTATTGAGTGACCTAATCGTTCTTGTATTCAGTCATGCGGGGTGATGTTCACGAATCCGTTTGGACAAACGCCTGACCGTGCGGTCTATGTAGGTTGTTCCACAGGAACACGTTAATGAGTACACACAAGATAAGGTGGCAGAATCCGGCATTTTTGTCCTTTAGTTGTAAACATACTATTGGCTGGGACGGGAACAAAACCTTAAGCTTTATTGCTTAGACGGTATAATGTGTATCACAAGATGTAAATTGTTCATGCAGAGTCGAATACAACGAAAGAGAATATAAAGTTCCTAATAAACAGACGATTTCTACCCAGTAAACCGTGATAAAATCTCTTGAAAGTATAGAGAGATCAACGAATCTGCTCAAATGAGATTTTGCAAGATGAAATCACAGTTATTTTGGAAGTGATCAGAAGCAACAAAAACATTATCGTAAAAGCGCCATGATAAAAAATACCCAGTAGGAACTGGAAGGAAGGGTTCGTACATTAGTCTTAAATGTTAAAGATGAGTTTGCATCGGACATTCCTTACTATATCTAAGCGGATCAATGAAAGTCACATTCATCTGCGTGCTACTACCCGTTCAGCGACTTATCCGTAATTGTTGTTTACGCGTTTGAATGCATTTATGACGATATGGCAATTATGTAATTGTATAAAAAGCGTACTGGATGGCGATCCTGGAACAATCTTAAGGGCAAGGGAATGGTGAAATGTTTGAGTTGATTGTATCAAGGATGTACCGAGTAAATGACACGTTCACTAAAAAAACAGAAGGCATTGTGTAGTTAAGTAGAAAGAATGCTTGCGCTGTGCGAGTGGTTCGATTCTCAGTTTTGTCGATGGATTTGCACTCTAGAGGGGACCGAACCAGGTCGAAATAGTGGTTTTGTGCTCCTCGGATTTTTAGTTGCACACTTTCGTGTGATGAACAGCAGACAGAGTAAACCCCATAGTCACGAGGACCTGCCATTCTGTGAATAAAACCGGTAATCTAAGCTCGAGCACTTGGGGTGGCGAACCTCATTAGGCCCTGACAGCAGAGCTACTCACCACCAAAGTTGGATGGCGGTGGCGGGGCTCGAGCCTCGGATCATAGGGTCCAAAACACGCCGGTAACAGCTACTAAACAACTGTGCCACCACCACCATATTCTGTGCATGACGAAATTTGCCATATAACCAAACCAACTCCTACAAAACCCTTACATAACAATGGGTTTTTATAATTTCTGTTGTCTGTCAGTGAATGTTTTCGATCAAATGATCGCTTTAAGAAAATGTGACATGTTTAAAATAGGCAATGCCAATCTCATTTGCAGCTCGTTAAGCTATTTTAGAGTCAAATAAGCCTCGAGGAATCATTGCAATCTTTCTGTATTAGGTGTTGTGGGTTAGATACGTCCAACCTCAGCCAATTCGACTCGAGAGCCAATTTTCTGTGTTTTGATAATGAGTAGTATATGAATGACTGGACGAAACTTCTCAAAGCACACTACCGGCCTCACCGTCCTTGCCTCTAGTCGGGTATGCGATTCCGTTAATCTTTTGTCAGGTCATTCTCATACTCCCGGTGTGAGTGAGGCAACGCAAATCTCATTCGCATTTTGAAATAAATGACCTTTCCAATGACAAAATCCATGAAAAGCGGTCGTGTGCTTCTGGGAAGTTTTGTGCAATCATTCATTTAATTCTCATTCTATGTACTTATGCTACTGTTCCTTAACACCTTGTTCATTGCAATCAGTGTAACTACCCGAGGATGAAAACGGAACTGCTCTGATCTCACAAGTTCTCCCAGAAACTTTTATTTTAAAAATATTTAGTCTATCTGTGACAATATACTTAACCGATGCACGTATAAGCTTAAGTCATAAGTACCTGGATACCATACCGTTATAATCATTCCCCTCAGTAATATAGTTTCCACCAAAGTGTGGATGCAAAAAGCGAAATTAGCAGCATTCGACCTGTTCTATTACACAACAAACAAGTGTAATAGGTGTCCACAGTCGTCGAGCTGTTCCTATTACGGATCCACGAGACAACCGTAATAGTAACGTAAACACAACCGTCGATCGGTCCCACGGCTACGAGCAATCGTAGCCGACTCCGTTGACCGAACTCGACACTTTCCGTTACGCCCGTGACGTAACAGCGCTTTGCGAGAGCGGGGGGTAGATGATAGGTGAGTTGAGAACGTACGGATCCAATTGGAAATCCGTGCGTTCGATGTGCACACGAGAATCGGTGCAACTGTAGTTCAACTGACGGATGACAATTCATTCATCCCAAGCCACACAAAATGATACAGACGATTTTACACAGCGTGTGCACTGGGGTCCGTCCATAGACAAGCAATCCTGTATAACACACCGCCATCACGGCGAATGAATGAAGCGCATAATGTACAGCCGGGAGGTGGCCAAGCTCCCAGTTGGAATGAATATGACTGTTCATTATGTTCAAAATTCGGCTTCATCTTCCGGTTCCGCTGTATCGTAACCAACTTCCTCGTAATCTTTTTCCAACGCCGCCAGATCTTCACGAGCCTCGGTAAATTCACTTTCTTCCATCCCTTCATTAATGTACCAGTGCACGAACGCGCGTTTCGNATACATCAGATCGAATTTGTTATCTAATCGAACCCAGGACTCGGCAACAGCAGTTGAATTCGACAACATGCAAACTGCTCGTTGCACTTTGGCTAGGTCACCACCGGGCACAACGGTCGGTGGTTGACAATTTATGCCAACTTTGAACCCGGTCGGACACCAGTCCACAAATTGGATACTTCGCCTCCGTCGTATTTGTGAAATGGCCTGATTGACATCGTTTGGGGTAAGATCGCCACGATAAAGCAGACAACAGGACATGTATTTCCCATGTCGAGGATTGCATCGCATTAGTTGATTCTCAGGTTCGAAACACGATGATGTAATATCTTGCACAGATAAAGGTTCGTGATAGGCCAGTTCTGCAGAGATTACAGGTGCATAGGTTGCCAATGGATAATGAATTCTTGGATAAGGGACTAAATTCGTTTGAAATTCGTTTATGTCCACATTGGCCGGGCCGTCAAATCTTAAGGCAGCTGTGACAGAACTGACCACTTGACTGAGTAATCGGTTCACATTTCTGTAGGTGGGTTGTTCAATATCCAAATTTCGCCTATAAAAGTTGATTAGTGGGGTGATGGTGAAAAGTAAGAAGAAAAAGTACTTACCTACACACCTGATACAATGCTTCATTGTCCACTGTAAATGCACAATCTGACAGTTCTAAGGTGGTGTGCGTGTTCAAGACTGCATTGTACGGTTCAACTACTGCGTTTGATATCTGTGGTGATGGATATACAGCAAATTCAAGTTTGGATATTTTTCCGTAATCCAAACAGACTCTTTCCATCAATAGTGAGGTGAAACCAGATCCAGTTCCTCCACCGAAAGAGTGAAATATGAGAAAAGATTTCAGACCGGAACATTTGTCAGCCAGTTTTCTTATCCGGTCCAATACAGCATCCACAATCTCTCTGCCAAGTGTGTAATGTCCCCGAGCATAGTTATTCGCAGCATCTTCTTTTGCCGTTATAAGGGTTTCTGGATGAAACAATTGTCTGTAGGTTCCTGTTCTTACTTCATCCACAACTGTCGGTTCCAAATCCACATATACAACCCGGGGAACAAATTTGCCAGCACCAGTTTCGGAGAAAAATGTTTGAAATGAGTCGTCAGGTGGTGTAAATCCGGAATCAGTTGGCAGCAATCCGTCTGGTTTCACTCCGTGTTCTAGACAGTATAACTCCCAGCAAGCATTTCCAATTTGCACACCGGATTGTCCAATGTGTAGGCTGATGCATTCACGCTACAAAGAAAGTAATTGTATAAATGGCCTGAATAAGGTTGTTTGTCACTTACCATGATTCAATATGGCACAATTTTCACCTCTGGTCACGATCCTGATAAAGCGCAGATATGAATGCACTATTAAAGCTGGATCGATAACTCAACCGTAAATCTGCAGTTCAACCTGAATCAGGCAGTACGCTGATTGGTTGATACGCTATTTGCTTTGCCAGCGCCCACTTTCATGAGGCAACTAATCGCACTGCCTTCTGAGACTTACAGTTTTTCCATCTTGGACTGAAAATCGTATTTTCATTGCGTTAGCACAAAACAAATTGCTGTTTCCGCTTGATTAGGGATTTCGAATGGACTGTTTTCACGGTTGAGTCAATGCCATTGGGACCACATGTGACTGAACTGGTATGTGCAAATTGCTTACTGCGTGGAATAGCGATCTCTCCCGATAGATGCATTTTGCCGAGATCTGCAAAATTGGGTGAATCTATGATGAAATATTCTGACTGGTAGGATTTTCATCAAAAAGCTGATAACATTTCTTCCGTCTTTTGTTATATTTAGTGGTGCACTTTGTCAGTGACCCTTGATGATTTCATGTTGTGATTTTAGAAATACGGAAGCTGTATTCTTGTGGATCTATAGAACTTCCACAAATATCAAAATTATACTAAATAATTCCATATAGTTAGCAGATATAGATAAACCCGGAAACGTTAGAAAAATTCAACGTGGTAATTCCATATTGGATTTTGTAGTGTACACATCTGGATTTGACCAACACAGATGATTCGCTTCGCCCGAGAAAACACAATCCACCGATTCTTTTCACGTTCAAATAAGAAGAGAAAAGATGATGTTCAGCTTGTCTTTGAAGCAAGTTTGAGTATGAGTACAGAGGCCTAATAAATATATTATCAGATAAAAGCATTTCGTATAACTTTCTCCTGTCGGTAATAAGTAACTACCAGAAAATATATATAGATATATTACTGACACGAAAACAATTAAACATTATATCGCGTTTGATTGTGCCTTAAAATACAATGGCAGGAGGACCTACCTAGTACAGACAGGCCGATATCTCGGGTCAACTGTATTTGCACAAGTAGGATGGAGGGCTTTGTATATCATACATAAGATTATTTATCCAATAGTCAGTAGTTTTGCGATTTGACCACGTAACCTTACTTGGAACTAGTCGAGTAAACTTGTTGAGCAATAACGACAAACCACTTGTCAGTCTAAGAGGATGTATATTTTAGTTTTGTTTATTGCATCAGTTGGAGAACAACTCATTACACTTGGTGTTCTGATGCTCTTTTGATCACCGACTAATCCGATCTGTCGGTGTATGCTTTACGGTAAACGGAAATGACTTGATCGACAACGGAAAAGGTAGGCAGACCGATCCAGATCTTTGAAGTAGTGATGGAAACATAGTTGTTTAGTTATCTGAAATTCGACCGACTAGTCGAAGTAAAGAGCAGATTTTAATCAATTACCTACAGGACTGAATGAAAATTCTCTTAGAAACGGTAAACGCATTGATCTTTACTTCTTTTAACCGCTTGTGTCGGTTTAATTGAAGCATTTGGTTTACCATGTCCTTTTGTAAAGTTCTGTGGATACCCCCGGATGAACAGAATTTCCTAAACGAGATTTTCGACAGAGTCATTAATCATTATCATCCTAACTTGAGTCACTGTCACACTTAAACAAATGAAATCTCACCGCATCGATTCATATTACTGGCTTCAAAACAATGGAAACACTGAAAACAAAATGATTTAATTGAGAAAATCGATGATTGAGAACTCTAATGGTCTATCACCTACATATCTCCGTCCCGCCCCATCCTCGATTCAGGATGTCGCCAATCCGGTAATCCTGCAGTACAGTTTCTTGACAGATCGACAGACGGGTCCAGTAGAACCTTGACAAGCGAGTTTGATGACAGATGGATACAGGATGACATCAATATGTTAATGTTACTTTCCATTTGATGTTTAGACTGTAATCAATGAGTCTATGTAATAGTAGTAGTAGTAGTAGTAGTAGTAGTAGTGCGCATTGATCACGAAATACGAATCACGTATCATAAATCACGGACGCCACGTAAGCATTGGATCACACTAGTACTTGCATGACGGTATCCGGCGTAACCGAGACGCGAGGAAAAGACCACAGGAATAGAAGTTCGTTTATTGAAAGAAATCAGGGTAATTAAATGTGTACAATTTGATGGGCCATCCAAGCCTCTACCAAACGCGTGCCAGTATTTCTGGTGTTTTTCAGCTTCTGACTGGGCCGGTTTCTGACTGGTTGATACAATCGGCCTATGGTTCTTATTCTGGAAGATGTAAGGCGTAAGCACTTTGCTGGCGTCCCCTGGGAAGCTTGATTCATCACATTAGTCCGAAAACTCTAATGTGTCGCTCCGTGATATTCTATTCCACCTATTCCACCCTCGTAGATCTCTACATTTACCAAAGATGTTTGTGAGGTTCATCAGTTGATTACTACTGTGCGGTTAACCGTTATCCGGCAAGAATTGCAAGAAACCTAAATGGCACCAGAACCACATACCGATTTAGTTGAAACTACCTTAAGAATACATGAGTGTAAGGGGGAGGAGGAGCCAAGCAATGAATTCCGTATCCGGCAGTGGTCATTCCATGCTCGTCCCAATTGACACCAGTGAAGCCCCCAAATATGTNATCACCAATTCTCATTTTGTTTTTATCTGGATTTTATAAGTGAGAAATGTGCTTCTGTTGGTTTGCTTGGATAAATCCGCACCAACATACTTGGAACAAGGGAAAACGTTTCAGGAGCTAATTTGGAATTCTCACTTGTCACATGATGATGATGATGATGTCATGATAATTGAAACTCCGTAACACACATCCTGAAATCGGAGCTAATGAACTGATCTTGAACTGGGCACAGTTCTGTGAATACTCAGCCACAAGCTGGCAAACACCACATAACTGTGGATCGTCAGCAGAAAAAATAGTGCATTGTTTTATTTCTGTTTACAGAACGAAATAGTTGTACGCATCCTGGTAAACCATTCAGACACTTCGGAGGCTAGTTTGGCCAAAAAACCATTGTTGATTCGCATAAGTATTGTGGCTATCAATCTGTTCGGATTCGAGTTAGGGTGTTTTGTTTGGAAAACGATTTTCGATCTCAATCCCAGTTATGTGTGGACGAACTTCACGATCACATGGACGGAGCTATGTAACTAAAACTCTGTTCGCCCATACATACACACACACACTTGGACTTGAACAAAGTACATAAATAATTGTTATCCCTACCCCACCCTATGTTCACCTCCGCCGTGGTTTTGATGACCAAATAAGAGATCCGAACGAACCCCAGTCATGGAATGCTAGATTGAGGAGGCTGTCAACCGTGAATGATTGTTGATGAACAAGCAGAGGTTGGATACTGACGCGTGAAATTCCCCTCAGTCATTTCTGTTGGTGAAATTGGTTCGATGAAACTCGTCACCGAAAGGCAAACTGCATTTTATTAGCTCTCGCCACTAAAAACGGATGTTCAAAGTAAGCGAAAAATAGGAACGCTGTTTTCAAACGCACTAAAAGCTTAAAATAACTATTAACTAAGATATATTTTTGAATAACACGAAGATATTTATTTTCGAATGCTGAATTTCCAGTCTAGTTCACGTTTCGATCTGCTCTGCACGCTAACTAATCTGTGGTGGTGCAAACAAAGCTTGACGGGGACTTGTATTATACAGATACACGCGTGAAACGCGAGCATCACGAGGACCGAATGAAAACAAAAACAAGCGAATCGTTCACTATGTTCGAATACCTTGTCTGTGTTGACCCAACTGGGCGAGATAACGCTATCCAAGGAGCAACATGTCACAATTTTAGAACCACCAATCAGATACCAACAGTTTGTGTGTGGGTGACCATTATGTCAATACCAAATCCGTCACTCGATGTATGTCCTGCGGGGAACACTATCTGGGTCCACCGACCGACCATGACATCTAGTCAAATCAAGTCAAGAAACTGAGTTACTTCACTATCTAGAGCAAATTCGATCACCGAATACCTCTCAGAAAAAAATCGAGAGACTAGGCTTTAAAATTTAATTCAAATCTGTGGGCAAAGCATGGAAAACACTATCCGAGTGAGATAAAAAACGGGCAAGATAAAGAACTGTAGAGGAAATGGATGTTTTTATGCGTGCTTGAGCCTGGTTGTAGTTGGAGCGAGGAAAGAAAATTGAATTACACTGCAACAATGTGGGTTTAAGATGGTGACTGGAAGCAGACCGTTTTCATGAGCCAGTTTATTCTAAGCTTTGGTATGTTAGGAGATCATGTGATGGATTGCTTGGGCTCTGGGTAAACCACAATACACGGTTAAGTTTCTGAATAATCTGGATATCACACATTCTTTTGCAGTCAACCAGGAAAACGCACTGTGGAGGCCTGGAGCCCGTGTGGTAAGAAGCAAGCATTTACAAAGTGTTTTATCAGATGGGAGGGAATGGATAGGTGCCTTAAGCGTAGGGTACAAAGTGAAAACCTTCCTACTTTAAAAAACAACATAACTCATGTGCTCAGACCAAGTAAGGAGAAAGTCAAGGATAACACCTATATATCGTTAATGAATAGAGACCGGGTCGTCTCAAGATAATCGGGAAATGATTTTCCGTACGAAGAGAAAATAAAGTATGAACATATTCAAATGGGCCCACAGAAAAGTTTTTTGCAGAAGACCGCTCGTTAAGTTTTTAGATGACCAGGAGAACAGAGTTGTTGATATAGGGCAAGCCAAGGGTAACGTCACCTGCCTATTTGATCAACCTGGAGTTATTGCAAATAGACAGAAATTAAGTAAGTGGAAAAGAAGAAAGGGATAAAAATGGTTCCTTGAAGAACCCTTAAGTTCGAAAGTTAAGGCCTAGCATACTTTGCACAGTAGAATCTAACCAATTTTCGAAAAGAAAGTAGTCATTTGAAAGGGCAATAGTAGATGGAGTTAGTCCATGGTTTGCGAGAATAGACAAAAGCTGATTTCTATCAGCACCTCCGAATGCGTCGATCTAATCGAAGAAGTAAACTATTTTAGTTTTTCTACTTGTTATCTCCCATGGAAACAAGTAAGGGTGCCAGTAGGCTGGAGCATCAAGATTAGACTTTTCATGGTAATAGGCAAATGGTTAGACCAATCCCTATGCCCAATATCGTGCGTTCAGCAGACGGTGTGTAAACAGTCCCGTTGTATTCCTGCATAACTGTCGGCTGTAGCGTTGGACATATATTAAAAACCCAAGATGAGTATGCATGAAGGAATCCTACAATCCGATGCGTAAAGTGAAATTATTGTGAACACGGGCAGTTGCAATTCTATCATCGAACCAGAAGTATTGCAATCCATGTGCCGCGAATCTGTTGTCCGCCAGAACGCTCTGAAGATGCTTGGTGTTACTGGGCCCAAAATACCAGTGGTGAGCGAAGTGCTGATGATCGTTATATCATCCACAGGTCAGTTCATTTTAATTCGGCTCTTGGTTGTTAAAAGCGTTCCATCCATCCTGGACCTGACCGAGATACGTGCCCTGACTCAATCCATACCGCTGCATACCCAT